TAACAAAGGAATAAAACCCAAGAAAAGACCAGTGGTGCACAACTGAATTGCTCACCAACCGCTGACTGACACCTGAGCAGCGATCCTCAAGCAGCAATCGGCCCCTCTCGGCCAAGTCCCCCAGTTTATATACTGGCATGCCATCCTATGGTATGGAATATCCCTTTGGCTCATTTGGGTCAGCTCTCCTGGCTGTGCTCCCTCCCAGCTTCTTGTGCACCTCCTCACTGGCAGAGCATGGGAAACTGAAAAGTTCTTAAGATAAGCACTGCTTAGCAACAACTTCAATATCAGTGTGTTATCAACATTATTCTCCTTCTAAATCCAAAATACTGCACTGTATGAGCTACTAAGCAGAAAATTAACTCTATCCCAGCCGAAACCAGGACGAGCAGTGAGGATGATCAGAGGCACAGACAGCTTGAATATTTACATGAAGATTCTTGGGCTTGGAAGAAAGGACAACTGGAGGAGATTATGATAGATATTTGTATAACTGTGAGTAGCTTGAAAAAGGGAATGATTACCTATTTTTTCTTCAAACTTGGGTGCAAACAGGCATTTTGGGACAGCTGATTTGAGACAAATAACTGCAATGTTTTAAAAAAAAAAAGTCGTGGAACTCGTAGCTACATGTTGGGAAAGCTAAGAATTTAGGAATCTTAAAAACAGTTTTAGATAGTCATAAGGGATAGATCCATTGGTAGTTAGCAAGCATAGAGGTCCAAATACAACAGCTGGTGCAAAGTCCATAAACTTAATTACTTTTTGCCAGAAATTGAGATCATATACCAGTGTATGCTATATAACAATGGTACTAGTATAGTTTTTCCACAAGTATCTATAGTCAGCTGCTGTTGGAGACCTAAGCTTAGATCAGTGTTTGATCCTCACTGATACATCTGTTCTTATGTTGCTTTAGCCACACTATGTCCTAATCCTCGATAGTGCCATAAGGCCAGCATCTAGGCTGTGTTTATTGCATGATGAAGCCTTTTCTGGAGGATAAAGTACAAGGACAATTTTGCTCTCCTTCTAAAATGGAGAAAACTCATTAAAGTACAAATCTGCTCAGTACTAGCAAAGAGAATAGACAAATCTGATAAATTGGTCCTGCTCTAAACTCTGAATCTTTTTCAGGTTCGTTGTTGTAAGGACTGTGCGTGAAATCAAGCAGAGCCTTTTTATTAGCATCCCTACTGCATTACACTTTAAAGGAGTGAGAAGTACAGGGATGTGTTTCTCTGTGTGTGTGTATATATATATGGTCCGTATATGAGAGCCGGCTATTGTGCTGCTAAAACCTGCTTGCCTTTAGCAGTGTAGGCTGGGTGAATCTATGTCCTGTATTCTGCTGAATCAATGTTTAAGGTTCAAAGCTGTCGCAGGGGTTTGGGCAGCAGGTTACAGCCCAGTGTGGCGCGCTCTGTGCCGTGGGGTCGAAGCGGGTCCTGACCATGTCATGGCAGGACAGGAGCATAGCTGATTCTTCAACATGGGGGTTGCTGTGGCTCTGGTCTGTAACCCAGCACCCTGGGGACCGCTGCTTTTCTGTGATTAGGAAGTACTGTGGTTTGTTGGGGGGGGAGTGTCTTTCCTATTTAAAGGCACAGAGGAAGCTCTCTTTACTACATGGAGTAATGAGTGCAAGGCGATGAACTGCCTGCTCCTGCCAGAAGACATTACACATCTAATTTTTTCTGTGTTGGCTGAGCAGGAGAGGCTGGATGAATTAAATCCCTTTAATCCCCCATCCTCTAACCACATCTGTTTCTACATGGCTGAACTTGGCATGCAGGAATTCTTGAAACTAGCAGAGTCAATTGCACTGATTAGCCATTTAAAATGTTGACCCCTGTCTCTTCCCCTCCAGTGTATAGCGGAGGTCTGTGCAAACTGAGAGAGAGCAGAACTTGTTGTAGCTTTCCTAAAGGCAGGACATCTCCACTGTTTTGTCCTCTTCTCTCCTTTTCCCATATATTATTAAGTATTACTAGAGCATCATTTGAGATGTTAATGCCTCCAGTTTTAGAGCTTTTTACAGCTGTAACTCCATTATAAATTACTTGATTTTTTTTTTTCCCTAGCTAGCTCCTTTCTCTGCTAATGCTGTATTAAAACAAATTCTCCTTGAAGAGTTTGTGGTCCCAACACTACTACCTCACCCCTTAGGTCTTCTTACTGTGTACATTAAGCGCTTTGCTTGCTGTTTAGTGACTAATATATGCTACCTCTTGTGATAAGAGAAATCTCTTCAATATTAGCTGTGCAAGTAGACAGAAACATAAATGCAATAAATGGATCCTGCCATAAGCTCTGAATCCTCCAGAGCCTTGCAGTACTGAGATGCAGGAAAATGAGCTGAACTCCACTATCTGTTGATAAGCTGTTGGGGTGTTGCACTGGAGCAGCCCTACCAAAGGCAGAGAGGTGGCAGAAGTCTCTCTGAGACTGTTTCAGCAGCATGTGTCACCAACCGTGCTGCTAACCTGCTCTTGAGAAGATGGAGTACAAACCTAGGCTTTTAGATGGGTATTCTTGGCATGTGTTAGTATATACTCAGCTCTGCTCTTCAGTCATGAACTGCTTTGGTGAAATATTCCATGGGCTGGAAAAGGCTTTAATGAAGCGTTTCTTTACTCCGACTCAAAGTAAGTTCACGTAATGCTGTGGCAGCATCACCCACTCACTCTTACGTTGAAGGAAGATCCTCAGGGACATCACTATGTTACTGGTGTGTCAGAGATCCTGGACTGGACACGCACCTACAAGCAATGGCACAGAGAAAGACATGGGGTCAGTCTGAGTGGTGAATGAACACAGAATACCAAATATGAAGTTTCCTAGAGCACAGAACATCTGAGGATAACAGTGATCGAGCTTGTGCTTCCATGTGCAGCTGGAAGTGGGGGGCTGTGCAACTCTGCTGAAATCCACAAGGAGCATCTCATTGACTTCAGAGGGCTGGAGTCTCCCTCAGGCTGAAGCTAGAACTGTCAGAGAGTATTTCCTTATGATAAAGAGAACATCTGTGGTCTGTGAAACGGATTGTTGTTTGCATGTCGGTCGGGTAGAGCAGTTATAAAGTATGCATGTGTGTCTATTCAGCTTGTTGAATGTGGGAACTGCAGAATCATAGGGTCTCGTATTTCCCACTTCTCTTGTCCCATTTGCTTCTTACTCTCCTACTTAAAAATCCATTGAGTGCAGTTTCTAGTAGATGGACCATAGAGAGAACTATTGGTGGATTAGTTTTCCTTTGGCCAAATAAGCAGTTTGATCTTTAAGTGTGGAGTTCATTGCGTTTGCTCACAGTGAGTATCAGTGTGCCCTCCAACCAGTCCTACTGGATTCAAAGGCTACTCAGATATGGTGGAAGGCATGGGAACCTGACCTCTACATGAAGAGAAATCTTTCCTGCTAAGCCAGGGAAGTATTGCAGATCTAGTACCATTGAAAGAATTCTCTGAAGGATCCTTGAAGCTACTGTCTGTGAGCTGGTCTACTTCCGTACTGTTTTCCCCAGTTTTATATTGGAAATGTGCACTGGTAAGTTGGGATATCAGTTATGAGGAGGGTACACACTCATGTATCACTTGGTTCTACAATAGGAGATTTGTGTTCATCTGCATTAGAGCAGATGAGTACATGAGCAGAAAAGCAAAGTCTCTAATTGGATGGAGTTTGCATGACAGGATGGATTTGAGATTGGATGTCTCATGGTTTCCATTAATTTTGCTTTAAAAGCTTTTTTCCCTGTTTATTACAGTCTATGGTGGCCTTTCTCAAGGATCCAGAAGGTGCTCCACTGTGGGAGGAGGATCCCGAAGCCAAAGATGTTGTGCATGTTGACAGTGAAAAGGTACATTAGCTGGATAGATGTTCTGTATGTTTTATAAATACATGGAACAAAGGGAGTGTGTATGTTTGTGTTAACTCTTAATGAAGCACCATTATTTCCTTTCTTTGGAAGGGAAGTTCAAAGCAACCAAATTGTTTTAAGTGACTTGACAAAGTTTGTGGATTGTGATAACTGTAAAGTCAAGTCTTCTGCTTCCCGCCCTCCTCTCTCCTACATGAGGTCATGATATTAGTCTGCCAGCTACATGACAAGTATCAAAGCATTGTGGATGGTGGGTGGAAGAGACCTGTTTGTCTCAGGAAGGTGTAGCAGCTTGCAAGATGCAATAACTGCAAGACACAAGCAGGAGGTAAAATGGTGCTCTTACAACTGGAGGTTGTCATTAAACTTTAGGTTTCCTCATGTGCCTGAGGTTGTTTCGGGAAGTCTGGAGCAGGAAGGAACAGGATCCAGATCTTGAGTGATTTAACTTTCTATAGTAACTGTCCTGTCAGTGTTAAGTGGGAAAGCAACAAATATGATAAATCTACCTTAAAAAGCCAGTGCCACCGCAGAGCTACCCATTGTATTCTTTCTAATATAATCAGCTTGGTCTTTTGTATTAGTTTTCTAGTCTATAGATTTTTTTAAACTTTAGTTGATTGGACTCTAGCTGCTATTTTGTGAAGGGCCTTTTCAATTTTCTAGATTTCATTTTTAATATTAGAAACAGTTATTTTGACATTCAGTTTTTGTAGGAAGGTTAACTTTTAATGTTCATCCTCTGTACTCTATTACAAGCCTTCCAAGGGTTGCATTCAATTTGAAAACTTCATCTGATTTCTCTGTCATGCTGGTACTGAAAAATCTTTTCTAGTGGCTTCGACAAGATTTCTTAGTGTGGAAACTGAAGTTGTTTTGTTTATTCGCCAGCGGAAGTTCAGGCTAGAAATGAGGAGGCATTTCTTCACAGAAAGGGTCATTAGGCATTGGAACGGGCTGCCCAAGGAGGTGGTGGAGTCACCATCCCTGGAGGTGTTTAAGAAAAGAGTGGATGTTGCACTTAGTGCCATGGTCTAGTTGACATGGTGGTGTTAGGGCAAAGGTTGGACTTGATGATCCCAGAGATCTCTTCCAACCAAATCGATTCTGTGATTATTGAGTCAGACTTTTTGAATTAGAGTATGGCTTTTTGGATGGGTCAGAGAAGAAGTTGTTTCCAATCAGAGATTCTACAGTGAGAATAAACCAAACCATGCAACTTCCACATCTCAACAGTGAAGGTATTGGTCTAGGATATTTAGCAGATTTCAAATCTGTAATAAATTTTGCCGTCTTCTTTAAAATTAAAATTGAGCAAGGAGAAACTCAAGCCTTGTCTGTTAGGAAAGATGACTCCTCTTCCCTCAGATAAATGAACCTATATTCTATGAATAGAGATAGTAACTTTTTAAAACTTGTAACAGAAATAATAAGAGATACTCTTGGGTATAGGTCTGTTTTTATTTTCTTTGGTTCATTCACTAGGAATTGAGAAGACTTCTGAAGAAGGAAGACAAACCCCTTCTGATGATGTTCTATGCTCCATGTAAGTAACCAGCATGTGCTGTCACCTCTCTCTCTCCTCCACTGAGAGGTGTCCAGATCTGACTAGAAGCCTCACCTGTGCTTCACTAATATCATCTCATCCCACTTCTGTCGTTCAACTCCTTGTGTTGTTCTGCCTGTTTGTCCTCAGTTTTCCCTTAGTTGTCCATTGCTTGTACCCTGGTCTTGCCTTGTGGTGATGACTGTTGCTCATTGTTCTTTTAAGCAGCTGTTTTCTGTAATTTCTGTGCCCGTTGTCCTTTCTAGGTTTGTATTGTAGAAGACAGAAACACTGTATGCTGACTGCATAAGTGTTAATGTATCTGTCTGAGAGTGCCTAGCCCTCTGGCCTGTATGAAGCTGTAAGTGTAAATGGGTATTGCACATGCTTTTTACTTTGGCAGTTTGGGCCATAGCATAAGACAAGCTGGTTCCACACAAGCAAAAAATCTCTGGAGGAGACCATGGAGTTGAAAAAAACCCAACGTATTTGTTCTTCCTAACTGCAAGCAGAGGGAGCAGTACAGTGGTCAGGAGCAGGAATATCTGTCCTTCTCCATCCAGGAGGCACCCTGGGTGTTCCTACCCACATTGGCAGGAATAACTGGAATACAAATGGGATTTCATGGGGGTGTGTCGGGGGAGGGGGAGCGGGAAGGAGAGAGAAGAGCACGTTGGAGTCATTGCATTTCTTTTGTGACCTTGACCTTGTAATGCTGCTATCTTGTCATTACACTGGCCTCTTGTTCCTTAATTTTGCAGATTTGCAACTGTTTTTTTGTATTTCCTGGTGACCAGTATGCGAGAGGCTTTCCAGTTCTTCAAAACAAGATAGCGTTGCACTGAAGTCGTTACTCAGGTGCAAAGCAAGGGAGCCATGAGAAAGGAATGAATGTGTGACCTAAGCTAGAAAAGCCTCTCAGAGCTGCCCTGACAGGGAAATTGATGTTAGGCACCACTAGCAAATTGCTGGCTGATTCTCTTTAAAACTGTGTCCCATGGCAGTATTATCTGGTGTTTCTCAGTGAATTTTCTATTGTAATTACTGCCTGAAACACCATTCTGCCTTTTTAGTCTCATCTGAGTATTGCCAAGATGGCCACAATTGCCCAAGACCTAGTTTGATGCATGACTAAGAGAATGTTTTTTCCTTTAATTGAATTAGTTGCAGCTCTGTGCCCTCAGACTCTCCAGCATGATGGTCCTGCGTGGCCTGGCATGGAGCGTGGTCGTTCCCTGTTGCTGCTGCCGCCGTAGCATCAGCGGGAGATGATACGCCTGCTCTGCCTGTAAATTGCCCCTTCGGGGAGAGTTCAGCTGCAGAGTGCTTTCACAATTTACCTGTATCGTGAATAATTGTTTTCCACAACTGAGTGTCTTCCTGAAATGTGCCTTATCTAACCCTTCCTTCTCTTTGAACCGTTCCCCCAGAAAACCTCCTCCTTCCAGTTTCTATTCTTTTGAAGTGGCAAAACACCTGCTAGTCTTCAGTGCTGTAATACTTTTGCTGCTTTCTAAACTGCTGTGAAGGAAGCTTACTTGTAAGTGTTTTTTTTTTCTCCCCTCTGATTTCACAATTCTTAACTCCCTCATTTTCTATTTAACACATGAGACCTTCTGACTTGGTTCTTGTCCAATTTTTCTTTTCTTTCTCCTCTTACTGGAGACATAATACATCCAGCAGTTGCATTAAAATACTGGCTTTGGGCAGTTGAAGTTACTGGTTACATACAGGTGTTACCTTTCATAACTGGTAGCAGCAAATCAAGGCTGGTCACTAAAGGAAATTCAGCTTTTCTTTACTTGTAAGGGGCGACTCAGGGAGGTCTTTGGCACGAGAGGATATCGGAGGCTTTGTCTGGGAAGCTATGGGGAAGACAGCTGCATTATTTCTCTGCTTTGTTGGAAGCAGGGGCTTTAGATTCATTGTGGCAGATTCATGGGAAATGGGCTCTTTCATTACATACCAGTGCAGAGGGAGATGAAAGTGACTGCAAACTTAAATGTAGTTTCTTTAATATTTCAGGAATGCTCCGTCTGGCTAAAACGACTTAGAGCAAAGGCATGCTTTCCTTAGAACATATTACCTGCCATTTGGAGATCATTTGCTGTACTTTCGGACCTATATTATAAAGTCAGACCGCACTAAATATGAAAAATTTGGTATACTTACAGGCATTCAGATTTATTTGTACTCAACTTTGTCAAAGACGACTCCTGCAGGAGACAGTCTGGATTTGGCAACAAAAAGGAGCTGTTTATATCATCATTGAAAACAGGACTTTAAAAATGGAGGCGTTAACTAATGGCAAAACTAATATGTGTTTAATTAAGCCCTCCCTTTTGAGACAAAATACAAGAAAGAACAGAAAAAAATTCGTTTTTTGAGATTACCCTTTTATGCCTGTGTAGGGATATATGTGGCTTGACAGTGTCCTGGACAGTATAACCCAGAAATGTCTGGGCGGGAGAGGTTGTACTGAAGTGGGTTTGGGAGCAGCAGCAGTGCTGGGAATGGAAGGACGATGGGGGAATGGCTGGGTGGAGGAGGCTGGTATGTGCCTGTGCTCCAAAAGGGAGTCCAGGCAGCGGTAAGAAGAGAGGGAGCTGGATAGCTGGAGGAGTTTGAGGCCTGAGGCTGCTGAAGAGAGAAGAAACAGCATCCAGAAGATGGTGTTAACAACTTGTACCTTTTGATGTCTGTCCAGTGGTTTGGATGAAGCTCCAAGACCTCAGTGGGCCTCAAATGAGTGATCTGTGCCCACCAAGAGATCATCATTTTGACCAGCGCTAATTTAACAACCTCACTGACAGTTTGGGCAGAGAGATCAAAGGTGGAAAGACCGCAGAAACAAGAGCTCTCTTTCCTCTGATTAAAGGCTGTTCCTCCCAGGCATGCTGATGTGGTCCTAAACCAGTGGCTGCAAAATTTGTTCCTTCTTTCTGGAAAATATTTTCAAAACTCTTGTCTCATCAACATTTTTGTTCCAGTGAATACTGTCCTATGGTGGACCCCAGAGTTTCCACAATAAGTGTCCAGAGCGCTCAGCCGCAGCTTCCCTTCTTTCGTGCTGTCTACACTCCTGCCCCTTCCCATGTGCATGCAGGTCTTTTACTTGGCAGGGCTGAAGCCTGCTGCTTACAAGGTGATTTACTGCTAATCTGCTTAGCACTCCAGAGCATCATCAAACAACTCTTTGTGCACTCCAACTGTACATTGGTGGTCTTCCTCACTTGCTGTTTGTCTTTTCCTCAGCACATAAACCTATGGTATCTTACAAGGGCTGTTGCTTCTTCTGTCTTCTCAATTAACAGAGCATTGTTTAACTTTTGGTGTCTTTTAATGTGTTTAGGAAATGCTTCTCAAATTAATTTCAAAGACTTGGTAAGCTGGGATAAATCTGAAGTACCTCCCCGCCGGTTCCTTAAAGACCAGAAATGCACAAAGTTTTTTGTTTGAATTTATAAGCATGACATCTTCCATTGACTTTTGATATATGAGTTCCATCTAACATTCCCCTCTGGGCTCAGCTCAGAGCCCGAGGAATATAAAATGATGTTACTCTTTCCAAAACTGGGGTGAGAAATGAGTATGAAAATGAATAGCATGAAAAAAAATGCAAAAATAGCGATGTGTAACAAGAAGTAACATCCTTAGAAACTAATAATCTAATAATTATTTTGTGAAACAGATAAAGAATTTTGGTTTAAAATTTTTTAATTTAAAAACGTATTGCTTCACATGCTTTGGAAGATAAGAGCCTGTAGAACAGGCTGAATAGAGTTTTCGGCATATTACTTACACAATTTCTTTTTTATCAGGGTGTGGTGTTTGTAAGAGAATGATGCCATCTTACCAGCAGGCAGCCACAGAACTGAAGGGTAAATATGTAAGTGAGAAGATAAGATTTACGTAAATTTTTTAAAAATCCTTTTAACACTTTATTTTTTATTTTACTATTTAAAACCACAAATATTTATCAAAGTGGGGAATTTTTAAGCAAGTTGAAACAAAACAGAAATGAATGACTGTTCCAGATCCCTTCAGGATTCTCTGTCTTGGTTTTTATTCTTTCTAAAACTTTGGAGAATGAGGTGTTAACTCACTTGCCCTTTAGATCCAGTGTAGTTCTTGCCATGGAAAAATGGGCTCTGACAATATGTAGGTTTATGTTTAGTCTCTAATTTGTGAGTTTGTAGTCCTTTTGAGCCCATTTTGGTAAAGATAAATAAATGTTTGCCATAGTGGGTTTGATCAGCTTTTTGACCTGATGTTTCATAGCAGGGTCAGGAATGGATGCCCTTATAGTAATAGTTAATCCACTTTTTTAGTGGAGAATCACAGTGTCATGGGAGGGGCATTTCCCTATGTTAACTACTGATCATCCTCCTAGTCACTAAGCATAAGCATTAACAAAATCTTACAGTTTTACTATAGCTCTGTCAACAAAGTTAGCATTCATACCAGATTGAAATGCAAGTTAGTTCTGACTGTAATAAAATCCATCAACAGCAGTCACAATAATCTAGTTACCTGTTTGTACTAATAAGGTGTATTGATCTCTCTAAGGAAGTCAAAGGCACTTCTCTAGTCAAGGTTTTATAGTGTGCTTAATATATAATTTATATGATACCAGTAATACATGAATGACAAAGAAATAGGATTGTTGTTTCATGGCTTTAGCTGGATTTGATCTGATCCTACCTGTTGGATCATTTAGTTTACAGGTTTCCTTGAGAGAGGCGGCGTGTGATGAGGAAAAGATGAAGCACTGTGGTTCATCGCTAGGGCAGCTCTGGCCATTGCAGCTCATAAGCACTGAGTCCTGTCAGACTCACTCACATTCTCCCGACTAGTTGTTTTTCAGCAGTGTTTTCTCTAAATCCTTGTTTGCTTAGGGCTGAAATGAGTGGGAGTTGTTCAGATTTATTTAAGACTTTGTATAACCCATGAAGATATTTTCAAGAACGTTTTTGTCTAGCCAGGCAGCGCTCTCATGCCATCTCCCCTGGGTGGAGCGTGCGCTGCAGTCTTTGGGAAGGCACTCCTGTCTTGCACGGCGGGTGCATTGCAACGCGTGGGGTGGAAAGGAATTAGGAATGTAAAGAGTCACCTACAGAGACAGTAGCAGAGAGAAGGCATGCTGCAGAGCGCTGTGTTCTCCTGCAGTTATCCCTTCCTTGTCCAGGTGCAGCTCGTCTTATTAAATTCAGACCAGAGAATTTAAACTCTGGATCTGTTCTAGTTTGATTGTTTCCTTCCTCACTTGGAAATGGTTTCTGTAGATCCGGGCTAATCCTGCCTAGCTGAGTGACAGGGCTGTGGTACAGCTCTGAGACTGGCAGTGCCTGTGCTTGATGCAGCTCAGGTCAGGGGTGCTTTATGCACTGGAGTGGTTTTGGTGTAGGATCAGTTCAGAGGAAAGTCCAGTTATGCCACTGCCGCCCGTGTCTTTCACGAAAATCAGTCTGTCTAAATTTGACCTAAATAGCTTCCTGAGTGGGATGTGTACACAGTTTGCCAATTCTAAAGTTAACTGTGCTGTACCCATCATAAATTATCCGTGGGGTACCTTAGAGCGATGTTGACCTCCAGATCAGACTTTGCTGGAAAGTTTATGATTGGTTTGGATGAGCTGAAGGTTTGGCCTTTTAATCTGACCTGTCATTAGCTGTCAGGACGTGCCAGGCTCAAAAGCGATTATTGCTATTATATAGCAGGAAAATGAAGTATAGTATTCCTATTTAATAGGTCATAAAAATGAAAAGGTTAACTGTGCCCATCGCTGGTTGCTGTGTTCTATTGAGACTGATTGTTTCTTGTCCCAGTGCTGTTACTGAGAAGAAGGCAGGGTGGCATTTTCAGTGTTATCTTTAGTTTAGTTCTTGCAATTCCATTACACCCAGTGCAGAAGGAAAAAAGGGGCTCCGAATTGGAAGAAGATGACTTATTTTGTCCTTAGCACAAGAGATTCCTGTGGTTTGTGGGTAGGGTGGGCTCCAGCGAGTGACTCACTGATGCACTATGGCCCCAGTGCAGGGAGGAACTGGTAGTCAGCAAAGCACTTCAGCATCTCTTTAATGCCTATGTACTTCATGGGTGTGCCAGAATGCTTTACTCAGTAAAGACCGGCTTGAGTGTGTGCTTAAGTGCTTTCCTCCTTTGATACTTGTCTTTTTTTGGTGAAAATGTGAGACTTCAGAAGCATAAGTTCATACACTTATTTCAGATATCAAATAAAAGAAGCCTTTGTTTAATCTGTTCATTAAACTTGGCCCTAGGAAGGCTTCAAGTGGTGGTGTGAGGTACCAATTCTGGAGCAATCCCATCAAGAAAACTGAAGCAAGGGAAGGGGTCACAGTAGAACAGGAATGGTCAGAATCCTAGAAGATGCGGCCAGCTAGGAAAGGTTCGGAGTTGGTTTGGGTTATAGGTAGCTTGGTGGGGGGCAGGTAAGCACTGAAATATGTCAAACATCACTGCAGAGGTGGAAGAAATAAACTGATCTTCATGTCTGCTCTGGCTATTACAAGAGGTAATGGACTTAAATTGAAGTCAGGGTCATTCAGTTGTTTGCTAAAAGCAAATCAGCTAAACATCTGGGAGGAGCAGCTTAGGTATAGAAGGAGGATCCTGGCTTTGGGTAGTGGGTGTATTTTGATCGTCCCTGACAGCCTGGTATTACATAATTCTGTGATTATAGGCCAGCTAAAGCTGTTACTTTTGTCATTAAAACCAAATCCCACTGTAACAGGCTTTTTGCTAATTATGCTTCACATGATATATGAACACCAGAATGAATCCAAGTTATTGACTTGTATAAATCACTGCAGGCTGGGTGGACACAGTGAAATTGTAGCAGAGTATCTGAAATGGCCAGGAACGCCCATTTAAGACCTAGGAAATCCTCTGAAAGTTCCTGGCGAATGTGAAATCTGGTAGACTGGTGTTTATGAGGGAATTGGTTAACAAACCTGGTTCTTGCTTTATAAAGCAAGGACTGTGTTTTGATTCTATTGCATTTACCTACCCTCAAGCGGTGACATGGAGGATAAGGGAAGAGAGGAACTGGGTCTAGATAATCTCTCATGAATTAAGTCAATCTGGTTGTTAACATTACAAGGAAGATTCAAAGAGTCTTGGCCAACCAATATAAACTCTATTTCTGTACTCTTCTCAGTTTACTTTCATTTATCCTTTCTCGGGATAGGGTAGAGAAAACAAAGTATCTTTTTGTGACTTTCCAGCACATTCTTAGAAAACGTTAACCTTCAAACAAGGATTTTCTGCTTTAAGATTTATTTCATGCTGGCTCTGAGCACATTTGGTTGGTCTGTGCAGTTTGCTGCAGTCAGGAACCTGGTATTAAATTCTCATGTGGTATTTCAGCTGGAAGGAGAAAATCCTGGGTTTTGGAGGGGGAAGGAGGAGGGGTTTGGATTAAGACCCTGCTGCTAAAATGATTTAAGGCATCAATGCCATTAAACTAAGTTAATCATGAAGTGGTATCTCAGCAACTTGCTGGTTGCAAGTGTGACTGCAGAACAACATCTGGTGTGAATCCTGCACTCACAGAAACTCGGAATCAGTCTCATCTTCAAATTTTTCACGTCACAATTTTTGAAAGACAGTTGGATGGGGCACAGGATAAGTTGCAGGGCACAGGACAAGTCTCAGGAGCCTTGAACCTGAAGCTCGGGGTAAAGGGCTGTTGAGGTGGAGGATGGGTTGGGATATAGGTAAGGAGAGGCTTTTTGTTTCACTTGCTAGTCTGAAAAGCTACTATGCTTTTGTGCCCCTCTTTTGGTATCTGTAGGACAAGGTTAATTCTTAATTCTCATTATACCCTACCAGTCAGGTAAGTTAACACATTTAAAGCATATAAATGCCATGTGGTATTTCCTGGGCCCATGGAAATAGGGCATTCTTTACTTTCATGTCAAAGTAATGTTGATTTCCCCTTGCCATTCAGTAGATGCATTTTTGAACTAGGATAACAGCAGTTCTTGGTTGGTTAGAGCTTCTGGGCATAGCTGAGATTGTAAATTCATTGCTGGAGTGGAAAACAGAGATGAGGGTGGAACTTCTTGTGTCCTAGCTAATGTTTGGATGCGAACTAAGCCATGTACTTGCAGAAGGAGAGAAAAAAATCTAGTTAAGCTTGTAGCTTGAAATCCAAATAGGCAAAGAAGAGCACAAATAGTGCGATTGAGAGAATTCCCTTTAGATATTTCTGTTAGTGGGTGAATAAAAAGAAACGGAGACACTTTCAGAGCAAGGAGGAGGTGACAGTCAGATTGGTGTGTGCTTTCTGTGGACTAGACTCAAACATTGCTCTGTTCCCCCTGGCACAAAATCAGAAAAACTTCACTGCCTTATGACAGAGATCCCCTTGCTTTACAGCTATATGAATGAAATCAGAATCTTCCCAGAGCTTAGTTGTTTGTGCTTAACTCTTTAAAAAAAAAAAAAAAAAAAAAAGTTGTAATGTTCCTGCTGTGTTGTAAGAATCAATACGATTATGCTCTGTTTTTTCAGGTTCTTGCGGGGATGAATGTTTACTCTGCTGAGTTTGAAAGGATAAAGGAAGAATACAATGTCCGGGGATATCCTACAATCTGCTATTTTGAGTCAGTTATGTTTTGTTACTACTTTAGAAATCATACACTCAACTATAATTGCATATTATCTTCCAGGGCAAGGACTAAACCTTGTTTTGTTGCTTTTTAACAGGAAAGGAAAGTTCCTGTTCCACTTTGAGAACTATGGTGCTACTGCAGCAGATATAGCAGAGTGGCTGAAAAAGTAAGGCATTGAACTTCATGCACTCCACCTTTTATGTACTCTTCATTATTTACAGAATGTAATGGTTTCGGAACAGCCATTTCTCCTGTATTCCCTCCACTCAGAAGTGCAAACAAAACTACCCCACTGAGATTGGCTAAACTAGTACAGAGGGATTGCCTAATGTTTGGGTTTTAGCATGAATGCCTTGCATTTTGCAATTGCATTTCATCTGTAATAAGAGACTGTCTGTGGACCACAATAAATGCAGGTACACAGATCTTAGCTTCGTTAAAAATGCCAACTTAAATTTCCAGTGATCCTGAGTGCCTGAACTTAATAACTTGCAAAAGGTCTGACTTTTATTGTTTTATTAAAAATGTATATACCAAGTGCGCAATTCTCCTTGGTTCTTCAGCCTTTAGCTGAAGCCTTTAAAGTGTTGCAGAGACAAACCAGAGATCAAGGCACCCCTGATTGCTAGTCATTTTTACAAAGTCTGTGTTTCCTGTCGTGATGTGAAGCGGTGTTAAAAGCATCTTCTTCTACGTAAAGAGAGCTCTTTGCAGTCATAAATATTTTGGGAGCTGAATGAGCCTATGGGAGTAGCAGTTGGAGGCTGTGGGGGGGAATTGTGCGTGTGTATAGTTGCTCCTCAGCTGGTGCAAATCAGCACATTGTCAGTCAAGATGATAGAGCAGCTGGAGAGAGCTGAGATGGTCTGGTGGTGGAGAAATACCATTAGAAGTTAGCCATGGCTCTTGGGCATCATGTCATCTTTGCAATCCTCCCTTGTTTGCTGCAGCCATGGAAATAATACTGAAATGAAGCTAATAAAAGGAAACAAGCTCATGGAAAGGAACAGACAGTTGCAAACTATTGTCATAATATGGCTTAGCAAAATTGACTCAGAATAATTATATTTTACTGTACCAGTGGAGCTACGCTGGGGACTTGGGTATGGTTGCCTGTAGCCTAGAGTCTTCAGCAGTGGTAAGCTAGGTGCTTCAGCATTGGGAACCCACAAATGAGGTGACAGCAGCATTCCTGTTAGCATCAGGAGGTGCACACACTGCAGGTGACTACTGCCCAGTGGTCAAAGAGGAGGAATTTAGCCACAGTCTTTAAGCCTCATTTAGTCCATTAAGCCTTCAGATGTGAATGATCAAGATGGCAACTCCAGCAATGTTGAGGAGCTGATCAGCCCTTGGAGCAAGGATATGACTTCATCACCTGCACTTTATTATGCTTTTCAGTTTTGCAAGGATATGGTTATCTCTTGGCTACCACATGTGAAACATTAGATGTTTGGGTTGGGTTTTTTTTTCCCTTGTCTGCCCACATAATATCCAGATAATCCCTGTAATATGCAGTGCCTTTATATCAGTGCTGTGACAGCAAGTGAACACAGCTACTGGAGGCAAAGGAGAACAGCTGCAAGCTCTTTTCAATGATAATCTCTGCTAACAAGCCACTGTGGGTTTTGGCTGATATTTCAGCAGTCCAGAGCTGAAGACAGCTGTTTGTCCTCACTGAGTGTTAGTGCATGCTTATTAGTTTCCCAAAAGATGATCTGAGCAGTAGCCTTCTTGCCCCTGTTTTGTGTAATAAGTACAACTTTTAAGGAAACCATGTTGAGAAATTATGCATACTTGAAGTTTGCCAGTAACTGATGTTGCAATTAAAACTGTATATGGGGTAAATCTGCCACACATATAATATTAAATTACACTGAGGAATCTGCAGTATGAGTAGTCAAATGGTATGGCAAGGGCTTTAGGAAAGTCAAAGAGTGTGATTAGATAGCTGCAGGGTGTATAGGCTATATTTCAGAATAGTATAATACTAAAATTGTTTGAGGAAGTCACTCTGATGCAAGATGCCTTGCTGTGGAGTAGGGGCATGGCAGTGCCAGGGTGTACGTGGCAGCCCATGGTGAGGAAAACCAATGTGTTTTTATACTGTGCATGCGTGTGCTGTCATCATAGATTCTTGAAAGGGAACCCAGCAGACATTGAGCCATATGAAATGACCTATTTTTTGTGGACACTAGGTACACACTGCAGAAAAGCAACTGTTTTCTCTTTCCTCTCCTCTTCTCTGTTTTTTCCCTCTAAATGTTACTGGTAAAGTGCTGAAAGTGGTTGATCTATGCTGATTTTTTAGGAAGGTCATGATATAACTTAATGAAGGTTAGAATTATTTAAATTATTGAAAGGATGTTTCCCATGTTCTTTCCTCTCAGAACAAGAGCTGCTAGTTTGGAAAGCTCTGACACCTTTTCTTTTACTACTTATTGAAGGTGCTTCTTTCTTATGCTGAAGTGTGCTAATGCGTCAGTCTTATGGATGCTTAACCTCTCTTATCTTCTTAATAGGCGCTGACTACTATCTTACGGAGTTTCAGATGTTTTCATGAGTTGATAGAGAAAAACCATCATACAGCCTTACTCCAACACATGGTGTTATTAACACGAGAGATGCTATCTTGCACATACCACAATTATATTCTTTTTTCTTTTTTTTTTAACCTGATACACAGTTGCATCAGCCTGGAAATCAGCTTCTTGCTGCCTTCAATAGCTGCTTAGTTTGTCTTGCTGTTTTTATGGACTCCTCTCAGGCCCTTCCTTAGCGCCAATTACTCAGTTAAATCAAAACTTGTTTTCTGTTCTTAATTGAATTAGCTCTTGATAACTCTTCCAGATTTCTGTCATCCTATTTTTGGTCTTCAGGCATTGGTTGTGCCTTGTCTCCATTTCAAATGACATTTTAGATATTGCTTGTTGCTTCCTCCAGGCCTTGAGGTGCTTCTTACCAACTCCTGTAGGCTTATTAGCATGCACAGCATTTTAAATTGGGCAATTTGAATTAAACACCCTGTGCCCTGCTTTACTAATTCCTTACTGAAATAGGTCATGCCAGGCCCTGCTAAACACAGCATTCTCCTAGTGCTTTGTAGCTACTGTGTCCACGTTCATCATGCTCTGCCTACTCAACCCAATTCCCCTTCCAAATTCTTGAAGTGTCATGGTGTTTTCTGGAAGGCCTTCACTCTGCCAGGATACCTGCAGGTTATTGCTCTCTTACAGGCTTGGCAACAAGCAAACTGATTATCTGCTGAGTGAACTCTTGTGCACGGGGATCTGCCTCTCTTTCTCTCTCGACTGCTTGGCTGAGTGCAGCTCCAGTCTTTGCTTTGATATTTGTTTCTTGGTTTGTTTATCATATAAATGGCAGCAGAGGTGTGCATCACAGTTTTGCATGGATTGCTTAATGTTGTTGGATCATACCTGCTGCTTACATCAACAGAATTTGCTATCTGAATCTGTGTATCTCTACTGCTTTTTTTTTTTTAATCAAACTAGGCTTTCAGCCTAGAAATGAGCAAGGCAGGATAAATGAGTTATCATCCGTTTGCCATTCCTTGTTCCAGGCAGCCAACACAATAACACATTTTAATCAAAAATAGTAAATATTCTTTCACCAGAGATGGGGTCACATCCAGACCTGTACTTTGCCAAAGAATTCGGAGAATTTTGGGGGGTATTTGGAACTCATTACTACAACTGGCAAGGATAAAATAGCTTCAAAGTCTGGCCCCAAATGTTCGTATGTGGCAATGTTTCGATGTCCTTTATGTGAACACTGCTTTAATAAATAAAATGTCAATTAGCATAGTTTAGTTCACATCTACCAAATTCTTTTTTTAATGTACATTAATAAAAGCCAAGAACAATTGTTTAGAGGGATGATGAGTACTGAACTGGTCCAGAGGAGCTTGGGTTCACTTTCCAGATATGCCACTCTGTTTTTGAGCAGTCTCTCTGGCTCTGATCCATCAAAGGTAGTTAAACTCATGTGCAATCCTAGTGAAGTCAGTAGAACATGGCACTTATCTTTTGGGTTAAGCATGCAGTTGAGTAGCTTTACTGAATTAGACCTGCAGGCCCACTGCAGAGTGAGGACATAACAGTGCTTCCACAGGTCACAGGGTTGTTCAGGGTAAAACCATATATTCCTGGGGAAATGGTCTGTATAGCTAGCTCATGGTCGCAACACTGCACCCCCTTCTTTCTTTGTCAGCCCTAATCATGCTGTCAATATTCAAGGTAACCGGTTAGATTGGCTGTTTCTGCTCGCTACTTTTTTTTCTCACTTGCAGTGGCTCCTGTGAACTACAGAATGTGAGTGCTGTGAGAAAGGGAGCATCCTGCTGAGGAGGGTGAAAGAGTAACAGAAAATGCATCTGATTTCTGTAATGTAATAACCAAGTAGTCTGGTTATCTCCTCGCTCCATCCCCTTTCATTGCTGATCTGTCCTCATCAGCTTCATTTTTTTTATTCCTCCTCCAGTTTTATCTGTGTTTCAGTGCTTATGAGTTCTAGGTGGGTACAATTATGGAAGCTGTTCAGTAGGGTTAGTGTGTCATACATAGATGGAAATTTGCACAAAGTGGTTCCTTGCAGTCCAACTTGCCACAATGACTGCTTAGCACTAGAGAGCTGTTTTTAAGCTGTGTCTGTTTGTCTTGTAGCCCACAGGCACCTCAGCCACAGGCTCCGGAGACTCCCTGGGCAGATGAAGAAAATGTAGTTTATCACCTGACTGATGAGGACTTCGACAAGTTTATAAAAGATCATTCGTCTGTGCTAGTGATGTTCCATGCGCCATGTGAGTTTGGTTTTTTTTTTTGCTATTCTGTACTCTGAGCCAAACGCTTGCCAACGAAGCCAATGATGATTTTCTGTGGAGGTTTCACAGAGCCATGAACTCAAAGTCCAGACTTTTCTTGTTTGTGATGATTGTTAAATACACAAGGCATGAAATGTTTGTGAAGTTGCTGCCTTCAAGTTTAGGATGGAGATGTGCTGTTGGAAGTGACACTTTGTAGGTCGAGTGAAAACATAACTGAAGAATGTAATGATGCTTAAATAGCCTGAGGACTCATCATTTTACAGCATGATTTCCCATTTTTAGCTCATCTTCTGAGTTGTTTGCTTTCAAAGCAGAACTCTGGTTGATTGAGCAACACAACTTGAGAACCGTGAACTCCTGAGTCCTTGTTCATGGCTACTGATGTGTCATTTTGGGAGCTTTTGCTCCTCTGCTGCAGTTCGTTCTCTGGCAATGTAAGGGATGATGATCATTATGTATTGTGCTGAACTATGCTAAAACTTGATCTCATGTTCAGAAAGTCCCTAGGACTTTTGAAAACTAATGCAGAGCTGGTAGTGATACTACTTACTGTTCAGCTGAGAATGCACTGGGCTGATTTTTTTTCGTGGCTTGAGGTTTTAGCTTGACAAATAAAATGCAGTGGGTTGCTTTCAGAAAGCTGTTCCGGCCACATCATCCTCATGCATGCTGTCAGGTGAAAGAGTGCGTTAACCACTTTGTTCACTTAGGATGTAACTTGTTTCATCTACCTAGCTGGTTCTACCAATTATTTGTGTCTGCGGTGGAAGGTTCGGGCTCAAATCTGCTATATAGAGTGATACACAGCTTCTGTCTCCTCTCGCTACTGTGCTGGCAGTTGCACTTGGGTGAGATGTTCATTTTCATGGGCATAGATTGGAAGGTTAGGGCTCTGGAGGCAGGCTGTGTGCTCACAGCTGAACAGCAGAGGGTCTTGGCACAGAGGCTGAAATCCTGCTTCCCTTTAAGCCAGCAGGAGTTAGCTCCAAAAATGCCTTTTTGGAAGGTCTGCTCATAAGACTTATTTGAAAAACATACCATAATGAATTTCCTTTACCCCATGAAATGTCTAGGGGTTTGATCCACTGAAGTGGATGACTGACTGCTGTTTTGTCACTGTGTTCACTGGATTATTTGTACTAATGAAAGTGGGACCGGAGATTAACGCCTGGCCTGAAAACCAAAACACAAGTAGCAGAACTGATGAAGCCTGGTTTGCTCAGGAGTTATCCTTTGTTACCCAAATCCTTCCTTCCCCAGATTTCCATGCACCCCAGTGTGCAAGCAACAGCATGGGCTGCTGCTCCTCAGGAGCTGTACGCTTGCTGGTTTGGCTGAACAGCTGCTGCCAAACAGAAATGTAACTGCTGAATTTCCCTCCTTTCCCTCTCTGTGCACAGTGGCTTGGGATAAGTGTGTTCTCTCTCTCGCCCCAGATTTATGTATATTTGCAGAGATTTAGTCCTATTTAAAAGCTTTGTCATTTTTTGAGTTTGTAAATGGGCAAAGGAATCCAGCCATGTTATTTGGGAGGAGGAAGCGGGGCAAGAAATCAACAGTTGGCCCTGCAAACCTTATTCCTTTAGGAAGTCAGATTAAAAATAGATGAATACACCCAACTGCAATCAAATTTTATAGTAAATTTAAGTTAGTTATAAATCTGAACAGGGCTATGTTCGGTTTTTAGTTTTTTCTAAATATTTTTCTAAAACACAAATAATACAGTTTTAGGGGTAACAATACTGTGTGACCTATTTGGAGAGGAGGGGCACTTCCAGCTAGGTATGTCTTATAGTAAGGTGCCTTCTGTGCTAAGGTACAGTAGTACTTTGGCAAATGCTGTTTTAAAGGTAAATCAAATGCCTGAATCGGGCTGTTGCAATCTCATGGTAACATATTCCAGCTGCTCAAAATTGGGATAAAGACTGTTCCTTGCCAGAACAGCTCCATTGAAATGCAACTTGAATATTTGGGGCATTTTATTTACATTCGGGTGGTAGTGGCATGCGTACGTGCAGAATCCAGCTCATATACGTGTAAAAGATCTGTGTTTGTAAGAATCCTCTCTGGGCACCCTCAGCAGAGAGTATAAGGCTTGCAAACTAATTAACGACAGACAGCTATCATAAACAGTTATCTCCATGATTAAAAGATCTTCTTCTAGCACTTCTTAAATGTGCAAATGGAGTCATATTATGAATATTAGGAGATAAATTACTCCAGTAAAAGAAGCAGTAAAAATGGAGGACATCTTACTTGTTTTAACCTTGGTAGCTTAAGATGAGAAATTTTTTTCTAAAAACTATGTATTAATAAAAAAAATTGTTGAAACAGAGGTACAAAATAGGCCCAGGATGCAGGATGTACTTCTGTGTAATTAAGAATAAGCAAGGGGATTTCAGCACTGGCCTGGAATTAGCAAATAGTTAAAACCCCGTGTCACCATGCAGCGTACACGTGACTTGGAGTTTTTCTAGCATACTATCTATCTTGTGTTCATAAGAAGTTCTTTTACTAGAGGGAGAACTATTTCACTGGTGCTTTAATTGCATAGTCAGATGGCCAGTGCATTAATAGTGTGGTATTAAAAGATGTGTGGGGAATTGGAAGCTTTTTATCCCCCACCACCCCCGCCAAGTGCTGAAGATACAGCTGAACCAAACACATCCCTGGTAAATACCTGTGAACTGCAGAATTAGGCACTGTGATAAATGTGGCCAGTTGGGTTTCCATGCCTGTGGCTACTAATGATCGTCCCTGAGGACCACACTGTAATTATTTACATTCAGTTGGACTTACTAGCCCAATTAAAGGCGTCACAGCATTTTGTGTTAAGTGCAGCCTAGCATAACTAGGTTCAACCAGAGCAGCTATGTGTGATTTAAACACATTAGGAGGGTCTGCAGCATGCAGCTTGCACTTCTTGCTATCAGAGACCTTATATCTTTTCTGCAATAATTTAGCACAACCATTAAACAGAAGATGTGCTGCTTTGAGTCGTTACTGCCGGCCCTGAGAAACATGGGTGAGTGTGTGTGGGCAGGATAAGTTCATCCTGCTTTCGTTTTGCAGGTCACTAGGGACACGAAGCAGGATTTTTAACCTTCTGAAACTCCTTTGTAAAGCCCTTAAGAGGATGTTCAATAAATCTGAATATTTAGCATGGGTAAACAGCAGCCTAACCAGCCAGGAGTCTGAAGGCACTCTCCCTCCCCAGCCATCTGTGAAGGGTGTGCAGTGTTGTGCTCCTTACTCAAGCATTTTGCTGAAATTTCGTAATTGCTGGTGGCGAGCATAGTGTTATCCTGGATATATCCAGACTGGAGTCTTGCAGACATCTGAAGTGTTTTTTCTGTGTGTTGCTGTTGTACTCAAAAACTTCAATTATGAACTGAGATCTCCTGCACCATACAAAAGAACAAATAAATGGCCCTTTCCCCAAAGGATTTGGAATTTTTCCTTAGATTGGTCATATTTACTAACATGAGATAGCACAGTTATGTTAACGGGCCTATTTCCAAGTCTGTAACAGCAGATGTATTGCACCAATCAAAGCTGTTTCTGTACCATAACATAAATAAAGGCACCTATGCTGCTTATGGTAGTCTTCTGTTAGCAATGAGAATAAAGACTCCACGTCTGTATGTGCTTCTTGATACCTGTGCCTACAGTTGATCAATTTATTTAGATGCCCAAGGTGATGGCTGGGTTCTGAATGACTCTAAATATGGGTTATGCTGCCAATCAAGTGTTGTTAAATGCTTTAGTGACATGGGGACTCTCTGGGACTTAAAATGCTCCTGAGTCACTTGAGCACAAAAAAAGCCCTGTTTGTGTTTTCAGTTTCCCCATCAAACTGTTTGCCAAGTCAAATGCAATTTTAAAAATAATTCTGTCCAAAATATTTGCCAAATTAGTGCAGGCTGCAGTTTTTCTGACTTGATTTTGTCAAAGAAATAAAAACCCCACAAATTTCCCTTCCTACATTTTTCACAGCATTTTTCTCCAAAGCACATCTTGGGAGTCTTGCACAGAATAAACCTAACCGAGTCGCTGATAAGTCAATTCAAATGCTACTGAAAGGTGTTTAAAGTCTAGGATAGAAATTAAAGTAAATTCAGAAATGGCTTCTAAAAGTGTCTACTTTTCATGCACAGGAGTTACTTTTCATTGTGTTTAGTTAACACAAATGATGTTGCTAACATTTTAGAGTGTACGTGTTCTTGCAGCCTCATGGAGAATAATGTCCTGGTGCCACCACGAGCTGTAGCCTCCCCATGTACATTCAGTGAGCACAGATCTGAGTAGTCTCTCTGATGCTAATTAGTGGTGGTCATCAGTCACCTCTGATGATTGCTTGGGGTTGCTTTTTCCCCCCTGTCATACCCCATCAGCTATAACAAAGTCCGTGGTCCAGTACTGATGCCAGAGGTAACAGAGGGTGAAAAAGGAGCTTTGGCTGTACTGTTAGTGTGAATAAGCACTTGCTTTTTAAAGGATTAAACTATGAAAATGTTTTTCCTGCAACATTTCTTCCTTTTACATGAGCTTCAATTCATGTTAAACCTGTATTGTTCCCAGCCCTCTTTATAGGACTTCTTCAGAGATTTTATATAAGCTGTAGTTGCAGGACTTAAGGTTAGAAAAAATGTCAGTACCCTTAGTGGGATATTAGAGCCATCACGGTTTTCCTCCTTTGATAAGGAAGGAAGGCAGGGATCCTGCAGCTTTTCTTTTTGCCTTTTTTTTTTTTTTCTCTTCCCCTCCTTAATTTGTTCTTGGAAACGCTTTGGAGATACAGCCCTGGTATACCTTTTTCTCGCTCCCTCCTAATGGAAGGGAGGGCAAAAATAAATCTCAAGATGATAAAATGCACTGTAGTTTTGATGTGTAGTTGAAATGTCCATAAAATTCCTTTCCTGTACTCAGATATTGTCTCTCCCGTTATAAACTAACGCAATAAATTATGCAATTGG